CATTGCCCAAGAGGACCAGAAATGTCGCTCAAATTCGAGAGATGGGCAACTGTACCCAGGGCCCTCCTCGCCCAGCTTAGGGTTTTGTGAACATCGCCCTGGCAGCACAGTAAGGCCTGGTATTTGCGAGGAGTCAAACCACGTGAGGCCTGGGGCGCTGGGTGGCCTCGGAGCTTCTGGCTCCTTCTGGCTCCTTCCTCCAGGGCTCCCTGAGGCTGGGGAGGTGGCAGCAGGCCAAGGCGAAACTCTGGGTTTGGGTTTCTTGGGGGATAACTTGTTTCTGAAATAACTATTAGGAACATTTCCCTCTCCCGGACATGGAACAATTGTTAGACTTGTTATTTCTATTAACGAAACTGCGCTGGCCGCCGAGGCCGACGCCGTGGAGAGCTGAGCTGGGAGTTCTCTGCTCTGCTGTTGGCCCCTCAGACCCTTGTGGGTCTGGGCACAGCATCTGCTCCTTTGGGGAATGGTGGGTGCAACATCGGGGGGCAGACAAGGCACCTCCGGCCCCATCCTTTGATGGACCCCAAGACAGACCCACGAGGAGGGTTGGGGGCAGCCAGGTGGCGGCAAGGCAGCCCAGCCCTGCACTCAGCAAGCAGAGAAGCTCCACTGTCCACAGGCGAGGACCGGGGCTGGGGCTGCTGGCACAAGTGGCCGGGGGGCTCTCCTGGTGCTGCCCCCAGAGGACCCAGGCTAGACCCAAGCAGTCTTCCTGGGGTGTCCAGGCCAGGAGCCAGTGCCCTCTCTCCTCTGTTCTCCAGGCCAGCTGGATGCCGAGAGCCCTGGCAGCCACGTTCCCTCACAGGAAAGGCAAGAACAAGGGGGCACACACAGTGGGGGGCCAAGTCAAACTCAGGACCCCAAGCACATTTGGATTGCAAATAAACAAGCAATGCTTTGTATTTGTGTGCCCCAAAGGAGGCACCAGGCGTACTTCTACCCATTTGCCTGCTCTTTGTTCTTTATCTGAAATTCAAGTTTTGCAGAGTGCCCGGAAGCTTTATTTGCTAAACCTGGCCGCCCTGAGGCCAGGGACTCCGGGCAGTTTCCTGGGACATCACCTGCACCATCCAGGGACATCACCCGCACCATCCAGCCGCTGCAGGCGGCAGCATCCCCAGGGGGCCTTCGGGGGCTGGGCATGCTCCCCCCTGTCTGAGCCTACTTTGAGTTGGGGCTCTGTCACTTGCAAGCAAAGGAGTCTGTGACAAAGTCCAGGAACAAGGTGGCATGCGGCCCTGGTCAGGGTCTGGGAAAGCCGGAGTGTGGGCCGGGGCCCCAGGAACTCCTGAAGGGGGATGCGGGCTGGCACCCTGGCTCCCCAATCTCCTGCTTGTCTTTAGGGTGCTGCCCCCAGGCGGCCACAGCCTGTGCTGCCCGTGGAGAGCATGCCCAGCCCCATCCTTGGCAGGGCCCACGTGAAATAAAGTGGAACCCCAGCCCGAGGCCACGAGGCCTGAGGCAAGGCGCCAGGAGGCAGGCGCTGCGGACCACCTGCTCCCTGCTGGAAGGGGGTACGCGGCAGCCCACTCCCAGGCGGAGCTGCTCCGGGCCTGATGGCGGCTGGAGCGCTGATGCCGCAGCGCTGGGGGGTGGGGCGGCGGGGAGGGGGCAGGCGGCCCCTGCCAGGAGCTGCTGGTTTGGCCCAGGGCACCCTCCTCTCCGGGGGCAGCGCCCCCTCCCAGAGGAAGCAGGAAAGGCGCATTCTGACAAAACGATTTATTGTTCAAAAAATAGATGTATCTGACATACAAAAAGGCATGTTAAAAACCGTCCCGAACGCATCTCGTCGTCCAGGGCGTAAGTGTCCAGTGCCTCTGGGACAGCAGTGGCAGTTTCTCCCTTGGCCAAGTCACGGCGTGGCCCTGCTCTTGGGGTGCTGGCGAATGCTGTCTCCCTCTCCGACCGGAGCCGGCCCCTCGCTACACATCCTCCCTGCCTTGTGCCTGCCCCCCTGCTCCCCGCAGGCGGCACCCCGCCCTGGCACTGGGGGGTCCTCCTTCCAGACGGCTGGCAGCAGGAGCCACAGAGCCCGGGGCCACAGCTGAGGCGGACACACCTGGCCCTCGGGAGGTTTTATAAACGCCCCTTCCGGACCTCCGCGGGGGTCAGCTAAGGGCCAGCCCCACAGCCGACGGGCATCTGAACACTTGCCCACCAGGCTCCACGGACGAGAACGCTGGTCCTCCCCACACCGGCGGACGGAAAGGCAGAGCCTCCCTTTAAAAGGCCCGTGGGAAGGCGAGAGTTGAAGCAGGGACCCCCCCCGGGGAAGCAGGGTGGGGGAGCACCACTTCGCGGTCCGCTTTCTGTCCGGGCTCACAGCATCCACACGCCTTCCTCGCGGGCACCTGCTCCCTCCAGCCCCGGAAGCTGCAAAGGGGCCCCCTCGCCGGCTTGCTGAAGTGTCCCAAGCGCTGCCTCCAGTTTCTCGCTGTCTCCATCTTGGGCTGAGGACAGTGCTGGTGAGGCGGATGGCCGAGGAGAGTGGGGTCCTGGCTTGCCCCCCTCGGGCTGCAGGCGAGGAGGCCCAGAGAACGCCACCCAGCTGTGTCCTGGCTGTTCAGGATGACATCTGCGCTCACACGCCTCCCGGGACGCGGGCCCAGGCACACGGACCCGGGCACGCTCACCCTCCAGGGAAGGCCGAGTGTCAGGAAGCGAAGGCTGGTCCCGGCATTGGGGCCATTTGCCCAAAGCAGGAGGGGCCGGGAGCACCTCTATTTCATTTGCAGACCCCCGGGGCGGAGGCCAAGACGACATGGAGTTGCCAACCCCCGAGCAAGCGAGGAGAGCGGCATGGGGCTTGGGGGCCGAGGGCTGGCCCCTGCCAGTCAGGGGCAGGACTCTGGAAGGTGAGAACTCCACTGCCCAAGGCTACTCCGGGCCTGCACCCTGGGAGCAGGGCCTCCTCGCCGCCTTCCGTCCACGAGCCGCTGGGGGTCTGACCAGCTGCCAGGCACTGCTGGCTGGAGGAACTGGCTCCTCCTCGGGAAGACAGCACCTGCCCCAGCGAGCAGCACCCAAGAGCCACCTGGTCCACGTCGGAGTCAGGTGTGCAGAGTGGGCGGGGCAGCTGGGGGTGGGGGCAGGGGGTGCAGCAGCAGAGGACAGGTCAGCCCAGCCACACGGCCAGGACATTCAGCGACCCCCGATGTCAGGAGTGACTGTCTCAAGGCCCTGGCGGCCTCCGGAGTCTTTCATGGCCCTCCGGCCTCGCCTGCACCCAGGGAAGAGACCTCGGTCTCCACGCCGAGAAGCGCAGGGGCTTCTCCACCAGCAGACCAGGGCGCAGGCCCATCTGCTGCAGATAAAAAAAGAGCTGCTGGCGCGGCAGGCCTGCTCACGCCAGGCTGCACCCTCCTCGCGGGGACAAGCACCTGTTCCCAAGCCCCACTGGTGGGAAATCACCCCTGAAGGTCTGCGCGCTTCTCCCTTCCCCGCCCCAGCGCACCGCCAGGGGCCTGGGCGCGAACAGGGCCAGGGAGGAGCGAGGCAGCGCGAGAGGGTCCCGGCCCGGCGCCCACTCCCCAGGGAACGACCCGGCCTCACCCGCTGGCTGCGGGAGCGGGGCAGACGGGGCGGGAAGGCGTGTCTGCGGCGTGGGTGGGGCCCGAGGACCCGCAGGAGAAGGACCCGAGCTCTTGGCGGCCGGACTCTAAAGCGGAAGCCCGCGGGGCGCACTGCACCCGGAAAGCCCCCCCTCCCCGCAGCAGGCGCCGCGTGGGGCCGAGACGCGCTCGCTGGCCGCGCACAGGCACACGCGGGCGGCGTCCCCCTGCTCGGGCGCGGGCTGCACCCACGGGCGCAGGGAGGGGTGCTGGGGCGCACAGCCAGGGTCTGCCGAGCCCAGTCTCCGGCACCGCCTGAGTCACCGGACCCCTCGGTTTCGGTTTCCACCTCAGCAGGACCGCGGCCGCGCCGCCCGCCCCTCCGGCCGGGAGGACGAAGCAGGACCCCGCGCTCGGCCTGGGCGCCCACCGGCTCCGGAAGGCGCGAACGCGCCGGCCCTGCGGCCCCTCAGCTCCGCCTCGCGCAGAGCCCAGCACCCCGCGCCCGTGCCGCGGGGGAGGGAAAGGCGGGGCTCCCCAGAGGGTCAGAGGTGGCCCCCAAGCTGGGCCCATCTGCTTCCTTCCAAGCCGGGGACGGGCGGAGGCGACCAGCGTTTCCAAAGCACGCAGCCATCAATCTCGTGGCTCACAAGCACTAAGAAAGGCCCAGCGGGCACCCCCGGAGCTGAGGGCAGGAGCCCCTCCAGGAGGCGAGACACGCGGGAAAGCCGGGCTCGGGCGCGGATCCGGTCTGGACACCCGCGGCCCGGGGGGGGGGGGGGGGCGGAGGCGTGCGGGGGTGCGGGCGGGCCCGGCCCCGTCACCCGACCCGAGCCCGGGCCAAGGACGCGCCTCCGGGAACAGGACGTCCCGGCGCGGCTGACTCAGGCTCGGAGACGGGGACATCAGGCGCGCAGCTGGGGGCCGCGGCCGAGCCCCGAGAACAGAAGGGGGCGGGGCGCCCGAGAACGCCGGGCGGGGCGGGGCGCGCGCCCCCAGGAGGCCGGAGCGGGCGCCGGAGGGCGCGGGGCGCCCGGGAAGGAGGCGCGCGCGGCGGTCGGGGCGCGGGGGCGGGGGATAAAGCCCCTGCGGGTCCCCCCGCCCCGGGGCCCGGGCTCAGCGCCCGCCGCTCACCACTCGCCCCTCAGGCGGCCGCGGGACCCCCAGAATCCGCAGCGTGAGGAAAGCGCAGACACTCAAGGCCCCGCCGGGACTCCCAGCGGGGGAGCGGGGCCCGAGAACCCCCTCCTCGGTCGCCAGGTCTTGGGGGAAGCTGAAATAAAAATTAAGTGTCCCAAGACTTTTTTTTTTTAAGGATTTCAGAGAACCAGGGACACCGGCGCGGGGGCTACGAGCAGAGCGCGGGGCGCACCCCGCAGTCTCCGAGCGCCCAGGCCCTCAGCCCCGGGAGGGGCAGCCCGGGTGGCAGGGGGCGCAGGCCCGGAGAGGGAGGGCGCGGCCGCCCCCTTGGGCTGAGAATCAGCCACGTCCCTGGACGGAGGTGCAGCCAGGGCCTGCGGGCAGCTCTCGGGGCCAGGGCCCCACCGGACCTCACATCTCCCCCCAAGGACTCCAGCACCCGATGAAGAACCAGCGGCTGCTTCTTGCTAAGACTGGGGGGCGGGCCGGAAACCCCCACTGGGCACCCCTGAGGTGTCAGGACCCCGACCACGCTGCACCTGTGACAGTCCATGTCGCCAGGTTCACGGAGGGTCCGAACGGAGAGCAGAGCAGGCAGGGCTTCCTCCCTGAGCAAACTGGGGGACCCTGGCACCCCCACCCAGCAAACACGCCCATATACTGAGAAAGGGCACTCCAGGCCCGGAGGCTCTGGGGCTTTTAACACCCTAAATCCGGCTCCTGCCATGAGAAGAATCCGGGGGACTGGAAGGGAGGTGGAGACGGGGCAGGGGGAGCGGCATGCCAGGGGAGGGGGGGCAGGTGGGAGCGGCAGGAGGGGGGAGGCTGGGGAGGAGGGGGACAGAGGGTGGAAAGGGCCCCACAGCTGGGCCCTGCGCAGATGCCGGCCTCCCCCTCTCCACCATCCATGCTCTTCTTGTCCACAGGAGGCAGGTCAAGGATCACCGCCTCCAGAAAGCCGCCCCTGATTAACCGCAGCCCACCGCAGTCCTCCTGGATTTGGGACTGCCACATCGCCTTCTTTTGTGCTGGCTGATGCCGCCTGTGACTGCAGCAGGTCTTTCCTCAAGGTGCAAAGCTGCTAAGAGCAGACATTCCATCTCTGCATTTCTGTGTCCACAAGTAGACAAGGCCTGGCTGTCAAAAGGGTTGGGACAGGGTCTTGTCCTTCTCCGTCTGCAGCCTGACCCTGAGGTCTCAGACTTGGAAAGCCGGGCCCAGAGCATTTAGTGGGACTAGGAGGGGCGGGGAGAGGACGGGAAAAGGAAGCATGGGGGTGAACCGAGGGCAAAGGCACCATCAACCCAGTTACCCAAGAAACGCGTCATAATCCATGTACCAAACCAGCTGGCCAGAACTGGGCAGGACGCCCGAGATGGGCCACTTCCTGGGCTCGTGGCCCACACGGCTCACCAGCATGGTGATCTCACGCTTCATCCTGCCCACCACCAGGACGGCCACCTTCCGGGCCCGGTTGATGAGGGGCAGGCTAAGGCTCATGCGGTGGTGTGGCCTGGAGGGGCTCTGGGTCAGCACGACCAGCTGCTCCCCGTCCAGGCCGGTGGGGGACTGCGGGAAGAGGGAGGCCGTGTGCCCATCGGTGCCCATGCCCAGCAGCACCAGGTCGAAGCTACTATTGGTCACGAGCGCGGATATCTCCCTGGCATAGGCCTGGGCACCCTGGTCCTCCTCGGCACACAGCCGCTGGTGCAGGTGCACGGGCATGGGGTGGATGTTGTAGTAGGGCACCCGGACGTGCCGCAGCAGGTGCGCCTGCAGGCTCTGGAAGTTGGACTCGGGATCCCGGAGCGGCACACAGCGCTCGTCCACCAGCCACAGGTGCGTGTGCGCCCAGGGGAAGCCATAGTGGCCTGTGGCCAGCTGCTGGAACAGGGCGACGGGGCTGGAGCCACCCGAGAGCGCCAGGTGGAACTCACCAGAGCGCTGCACGGCCCGCACAGCTGCGGCCTCAATGTCGCTGGCCAGCTTGGCAATCAGCTCCTCGGGCCAGGCCGAGACCAGCGGGCTGTCCCGATACTTGGCTCTGAGTACCTGGAAGTCTCGGGGCAGGGGGGCAGGACCCAGCCCCGGCACCAGCTGCTCCAGCTGCTGCTGAGAGAAGGCTAACTGGCCACCGTGGAACTCAAAGTCCAGCAGATGCCCGTTCTCCGCTCCTCCTGGGTACTGGCGGGGGGTCTCCTGGGCCAGGCTATCCAGCAGGGGGGTCCAGAAGACCCAGGAGGCCAGCAAATTCTCCGTGGTGATGAAGGAGTCCTTGTGGCCGTGGAAGATCCGGGATATGAGCACGGAGTAGGCGTCCTGCACACTCACCGGGCTGTAGGCGTAGAAATCCGACAGAGGGCGGCCGAAGAGACGGAGCCCGGGACGGCCTTCCATCTCCTTCCAGCCCACGGAGGGCAGCGAGGGCCTGAACAGGTTGCGGCTGACCAGCACAGCGGGGCTGCCCAGCTGGCCGTGCCCGATGTGGAACACGATCTGCCGGGGCAGGCAGCGGCTCTGGTCAGCGGCCCAGCGAGGCTCGTCCTGCACGCAGCACGCCTGGTTCTTGAACAGGATCCGCACGTAGCCCACTCTCTCGTCCAGGGCCTTGCCGGACATCAGGATGAAAGGGACGCCCTCCCAGCGCAGGTTGTCCACGTGAATGAGGACGCCTGAGGTGACGGGACAGCGGAGGTGACGCTCCAGCACGGCACCCCAGACCCCAGTCCCCTCGCCTCCCGCCAGCCAGACTGGGCCCCTCCCGGCTCGCCCCAGGGCACTGGCCTTTGGAAAACCCCGTCCTCGGCCTCGCTCTCCCCACCCCTACGCCCCTCCGTCACCTTCTTTTCCTCTGAGTCATGACCCCTGAGCAAAAGAGAGCGGGTGCGTCTCCAGCCTGCAGGCCCCGAGAGGGGCTATGAAGGGACAAGGCTGGGGGTCCTGACCGCCAGGGGTGCGCCTCTGTTTTGGTAGCGCATCGAGGATGAGTCTGAGCAAGACAGATTTGGTGGGAGGGCAGCACTGGGCTCTCGGCAGGAGGCCGGTGGGCTGTGGGCGTGGGGAAGGGGCCTGGCAGGCAACGGAGGTAAGCCAAATGCTGGAGCACCCACACCTGAGCTCCGGGCCTGGTCTCCCCGCATGCTGTTACTGCAGGACTAAGGCAAGTGTTTGCAATTTTACCAAGTCACGTTTCTTCTCCTTCAAGTGGGCATCAGAATGTACCTGCTTCGGGCTGAGCGTGCGCACAGGTGAGGCGCGGCAGGGGAGGGTTAGCCACAGCCCCGTGCATAAAGGGCCTAGCGCCCAGTCAGAGCCTCACAAACAGCCGCTGCGTGAGCGGTGCCTATCCTCTGCAGCCGGCTGGCTCCCAGCTGCTTGGAACTGCCGGAGAGGGCTGTGGCCTGAGCTTGCCACTGGGAGGGTCTCCAGCCATGGCCCACCCGGCTGGTGGAGCGCCACAAGGGTGGGAGCCAGACCCGAACCCGGCTCGGCGAGCCCTGGAAGGGTCAGTGTCTGTGCACCAAACTGGGTGGGTGGACTGCACCCCCCCCTTGGAATGTCTGTCCCCTAGGGGACCCCAGAGGTGACTTGCTTCTTTAAGCTGGCGGAGGCCAGGGAGGCAGGGCAACTTCTCATGCACCAGTGAAAACCCCGTCTCGGGCTCCTTCCAACCCAAACCAGAGGGCATCTGGGTGCGGAAAGCTGCTCCTGGCTGGGGCAGCCCGGCGCTGGGCGGCTGCGGAGCCCACCTGCGAACGTTGGCGTCAGGCTGTGGAAGCTGGCTGGCTTCTGCAGCTCTCGGCGCACCTGCTGGCTGTAGGCCTGGTACTGGCCCAGGACAGCGCTGCCCTTCTGCAGGCCCCGCAGCGCCTGGAAGGCCTGCAGCTTGTGCCTCAGCACGGCCTCCGAGCTGCTGATGTTGTGGGGCAGCTCCATGGCCACGAGGGTGAGGATCTCGGTCAGGTGGTTCTGGAGGACGTCACGGACGACGCCGTACTCCTCGTAGAAGCTGGTGCGACCTGTGGGCGGAGGAGGGGAAGGGTGTGACCAGGGGCCACACGTCCCACCCAGGGGCACGAAGACCCCACCCCCACTCCTTGTCCAGGCAGCCCCGCTCCCCAGCCCAAAGAGCCCATTAAATGATTTATGGCAGAGCACGCCACGGCGGGAGACGGAAGGGGGTGTTTGTGAGCCGCCCCCCTGCCACTGGGAGGGCAGACCGCGGCCCCCACGGCCCTGCCTTCCCTGGACAGGGCTTGTGGGCTGCAAGAGGCTGCAGCGTGGGGGTCAGGGCCAGGTTGCCAGGTCCCTGCTCTGATCCCCCGGATGTAGCAGGCGGCACATGTGCAAGGGCCGGGGAGACAGTCCCCCCCCCCCACACACACACACAGCTTACGGGGGGAGGAGCGGAGACGGGAGGGGAAGACTAGCCGTTGGTAAAGCTCAGCGTTCAAGGCAGACGGCAACGGGAGCTCCCTCTGGCACCTCCAGAGCCAGGGAAGGAAGAGCACTGCGGACAGGGCCCTCGGGGGTCCAGATGAAGACTAGCAGCAAGTTTGAGCTCAAGGGGAGGGGGGGACACCCGTTGGCAGGTGCACAGGGCTGCTGTGAGGGTGACAGGGAGTGCACACAGGGACAGCCGAGGCTTCCAGCGGCCTGGCCTGGCTCGAGCTGACACGCCCACCAGGGACCCCACAGGGCAAGTGCCAGTGTCGTCCCTGCTCCTCAGGGGAGGGAAAAGTCAGGCCCAGGACAATGCAGACAGAGCCTGGTGCCAGTTGCCAGCCCTCCCTCCTCCCAGTTCAGCGAGAGCTCTGACTATTTGAGACTTGAACGCATCCAGCCCACCCGCTGTGAAGCTTAGTGTTCACAGATGCCCTACCCTGGGCCCGCAGTCCCCAGGTCGGCTCCCGCCTGACCTCACGACAGGGAGAGCACCGCGGGCCAAGGGCTCTGGGGCTGTTCAGATCTCAGTGGGAAGCTAAAAGGGGTGGTGTTGGTGGGAAGAACTGCCGGCGCTGGGGCCAAATCTCACTGTTCCCCTCTACCAGCTGTGGGCCCCTGGCCAAGTCAGCTGACTTCTCGAAGCTTAGCTTCCTGGTGCTTAGATAACAGCGGGCCTCCTTGCACACCCCTGTGGGGAGCAGATGGGCTGATAACCGGACACTGCTATCACTGCTACGTTTTCTTGATCCTTTGCAGATACACTGCGGGGACTCGGAAGACCAGGCCCCGCGGGGCTAGGGACTCAGCCTTTGTTTCCTCAGTGGGCGGGGGCACTGGGGCATCCAGGCTGAGGGCACCTTCCTACCAGCCGGGGGCTTTACCTCCTGCCCACAGCGCTGGTGCTGCCGGCCTGGGGCGAGGGGGCATCCTGGGCTCAACTTGGGCCCGCTGGTCCCATCGGCCACACGGGTCCTGCTCTTTGACCTGCTGGCCTGAGTGAGCACCTGAGCCTGGTCAGCCCAGCACCAGCCCTGAGGACCAGGGTATTTGCAGCCAAGAGAAACAAGGACACCGTCCACCCGGACGGGAACGCCCTCGGCAGCCATGGTGTGGGAGCCACTCGCGCCCATCCACTGACGAGGGACAGACCAGCCCCTCCAGCCGTGCAGCGGCACTCAGCAGTGGGAACAGGCGAGATGCTGTGCCCCTGCAGTCTGGGGAAGCCCCGACAACGTGATGCTGAGGGAGAGAAGCGGACGGAGGCGAGTTCCGTGCGACCCCCTCACGGGGCGTGTCCAGAGCAGGCAACCGCCTAGAGACCTGGGAGGGGCCAGAGAATGGCAGCTGGGGCGCAGAGCTGCTCTCTCGGGGTGATGGAAATATCCTGAAAGGGCCCTGATGATGCCCAGCTGAGCAGATGAAAGCCCATTAAATCGTGTCCCTTCAGCAGGTGATCTGCATGATGAGTGAATGATAGCCTTTAAACGGTGGACTGCATGACACCGAATCATGTCCCAATAAAACCATTTTTTAAGAAATGTGTTAGCAGAGGGAGATGGCTGCGAGGCAGAGGTGCCGTGGGGGTGACATGCGTGTGGCCTGCTCGGTGTGGGCAGCGGCCGTGAATTCAGGAATTCAGGAAGCAGCGACGCGTGGCCAGAGGGAAGGAAGAGCGGGGAGGAGGCAGGACACGCTCCCCTGCGGCGCAGGTGCGGCTGGCTGGGTGGGGAAGGCAGGCCAGCGGGGCCTCCAGGCGGGGAGCGCTGCTGGGCGGTCTCAGCCCTGTGACCCGGGGCCGGGGCTCTGTCTCCAGGCAGAAGAGCAGGCCACGCTGGCCCGGAAGGGCGGCCGCGAGGATGGGTGAGTTGACACAGACACCGTCTGGAACGCGCCCGGTGCACGCTGACACACGCTGGGGTTTTAGGGTCAGGGTGTCAGGGAACAGTCGCCCTTTGGAGATAAAGGACTTAGGAAAAGCACCACTTCAGCTTTAGTGCTGCCTCAGCCTGCTGGGTCCGGAGGGTCACGTGAGGCGACGTCCAGGAAAACCAACGACAAGGCAGCTGGGGGTCAGAGGGGAGGCGGGGAACATGGAGACGCCCCGGATGGCGAGTCGGAGGTGCCACCCGTGGCGAAAGCATCCTTGTTTCATGCCCCGCGAGAAGGAAACTCAGCTGTCGCCCAGGCAAACCCGACTTCAGAGAACGCGCGAACGCAAAGACACGCGTCTGGGCGTCGATGAACCTCCGCGGTTTCGGCGTAGAGAGGAGAGGGGAGCCTTGGGAACAGATGAATTTTTGATGGCGAGAACACAGCTATCTGCTTACTATTCATTAGTTCAGCAAACCCCGCGCGGCCCGTCCCTATTTTTATCCTCCCTCAGTCCGTGGGGAGGAGCACTCCGCAGGCCTCCTGCCTGCTGTGTAAAAGAGCTTCCTTTATTCCTTAATTTCAAGCTTCAGGGGGTGCACTGCGGCACAGCCCTGCATTTTATGGACTTTGATTCTTTCCTGGTTAGCTCTGTCTTTCAGGGTTTCCGTGTCGACAGCTGCGGGGGGGGGGGGGGGGGGGGGGGGGGGGGGGCTGCCCCCAGGGAAAGGTCCCCCGGGGAGAGGTCTCCCCAGGAGAGGCTCAGGCGGGGCGGCACTGGACTAGCTCTGCTGGAGATGGGCGGCAAGTTGACTTTTTTTTCCTCATTCCTACCAGTTACTGTGGACTGATTTTTCCTGAAAATGACCTAGACTGACTCCTAGTACCCTTTCCTGGGTTGAAAGGTCAAGGTGAAAACCCACAACGCCGGGGAGAGAAAGCACAGCAGGTAGGTAGCTGGAGGAGAGAAGACCCACAACGGGGCTTCCAGCCAAGCCTAAGACTCAGCCAAGCTCCAAGATGGCAGGGTGTGGGCCTCACACCCTCCCGGGGCAGCCCCACCAACGGCAAGAGAAGTGGTGCCCCTCCAAAAGGGCTGCTAGGAAGCCCGGCAGCTGGACCGAGGAGGCAGCAGCATGACGTGAGCGGAGCCACAGGGAGAGCAGACGCGCTGCTGTGGCCGGTTTCAGGAAACCAGGCTGAGACGGAGCAGCAGCTCTGAAGTCACTCTACTCTTCAGCCTCGTAGCCCCACTTCACGCGTGTGTACTTAAAGGGGAAAACTCAATGCTCATAAATGTCCTGGAATTCCTTAGCTCAAGGTCCCATATCTTTATAAATACATTAACAATTACTGATTTGTTCACTGCAGAAGGGTAAATTGGACGGTAAGCGAATTGTATCTTAATTTTTCACACGATCTCAAAGTACTCTTTCAAATAGCAAAAACTGCAAACTAGGATGCCTTAATAACAGGACAATTCACAGGTTGTGATATAAATAGAACTAACAGAAATACGACCACAAAAAACAGTTTCTATGATGCAGATTATCCATACATGGAGATTTCAATATTCATATAAGTGAGAGTGGAAAAAAATATTGGGTTAAGAATGGACATGAAAAAGTGTTACAGACCAATCACAGCCTTTCCAGAATCTTCCACAGTCACAGAGACGCCAAAAGTGCTCAGGGCCCAAGGGCACTGCAGCCCCCTCTCCTTGCCAACTTGGAAGGACAACAACATTTCCATTGGTGGAGTATTTCTGGACACTACCTGACTCACCCCTTACAACCATCCCGGGAGAGTCCAGGCTAGCAACAACTAGAGACCTGCTGGGAGAGGCAGCCTGGGCCAGCAGCAGCTAGAGACCCTGCCGGGAGAGGCAGTCCGGGCTAGAGCAGCTAGAGGCCCTGCCGGGAGAGGTAGTCCCGGCTAGCAGCAGCCAGAGACTGCCTGAAATGGCAGCCATCCCAGCTGGGCCCAGACATGGACTCCCACTGCCTTTGCACTATGGGACACCCCGATTCCCCCTGCACGGATCTGACAACAAAAAACCCTGTGCACTTGCTGCCATCCCTGTTAACACCTGCTAGGGTTACGAAAAAAAAAAAAAGGGCGGGCCACAGAGAAGCAGGTCGTGGTGGAGCTCTCAGGTCAGAGGCTGCAGCTGGCCTGGCCTCACCTGGCGGCCCATCTGCTGAGTGAGCTGGCGGCCCCTCCCAGCACCGGCTGCAGGCTGGGCAGCTGGCGTGCACCCGAGGCCCAGCGGCTGCGATGGACCCTCCCTGAGAGGCACCCAGCTGTCACTGCAACCTGCGACGTGAACACGCGTCGCGACCTTTCCCCAGACAGGGACCCTCCCCAGGAAGTTCCCGTCCTTCCTCCTGCCAAAAAAAAGTTTTCCCCCAGCTGGGAAACCAGGGGCGCAGAGGGAGGGCCCTGAGCACATCCTGGCAGGAAGGCCGGAGAGCACAGTGGCCAGAGGCTGGGTTCTGGGGAGCCACAGAACTAGGCTCAAGTTCGGCCCTCCCAGGAGAAAAAGGGCCCCATTCCCAACATAGCCCTCCTCTCTGCTCAGCCCTCCTGGGGGGCGAGGGGGGAAGGCTGGAGGGGTCAGCTCTTAGCCAGACTAAGTGGCCCAGCCAAGGTCACTCCCAGAGTGCTGCTTTAGGTCCAGGAAGCTGGGGTGTCTGTGACTCGGGGGCTCACCGCATGGGGACTCCCAAGAGGGGCCCCCAGAGGAGCCCAGACCTGAGAGCTGGATGGCTCCCTCCTCCCCTCACCCCCCTCCTGCCTATGCAGCAGCCTTAACTCTGCAGCAAACTCCTCTGGGCCAGAGGCTGCGGCAGAAGAGGAGAAAAAAACCACTCTGGCTGCATGGAGGGAAGGGGAGAGAGGGAGCGGGGAGCCGGCCCCTGCCCATCTGGACATGTGCGTGGGGCAAGGCAAACGACCTTGGGCTCTGAAGTCCCTTTCCAGGGGGCAGGGTAGCAAGAGGAGCTGCCTCTCGCCCTCGGTGCCCCCTTCCAGCATGCAGGGTGGCAGCCAGGTGACCCGAGCCAGGTCACTCCAGAGCATCCGCAGGGCGGTCATCTAGGGCTGGCAGGGTGGGACGGGAGCAGGCCCCCTGCACTGTGCTTCCGCCTGATCTCGGAACCTGGGTGCCAGGGAACAGGCAGGCTCCGCCACGCAGCACCCGCGGGCACCCGACCCAACTCCAGCAGAGCAGCCTTCCCGCCCAGCCCAGCCCAGGGGAGCGCAGTGGGACCCTGTGTGGGTCGGAGGTGGGGTCCTGCCGGGTCCACAGGTCTGGCCTCTCTCCAGCCTGAACTCGTCTAGGCAGGGCGTGGGAGGACCCAGATGGCCCTCGAGGATCAGTGCTGGGCCACTGAAAGGAGGGGGCTCTCTGCAGTCGAAGGACCCATGCCCAGAGGCCCGCCTGCTGTGGGCTGAGCCTGTGGCAGGGAGGGGTCCCTGGAAAGGACAGACACAGCTGTCCCCGCCTGTGTCTGCAAGTGGCAATAGCAGCTGACCAGGGAGGCCCAGCCCCCGGACAGCGGCAGTCCTCCTGCATCCCTCCCTTCCCGGCCGTTCACCCCTGCGGCTGCTGTCCCCCTCTCGTCCGCCCCTCTCCTTGCCTTTGGACGGAGGGTACAGAGCCTAGCTGGGTGAAGAAGCTTCGGCTCTGGGATGGGCAGAACAAGGCCCTCCCGGGAGCCCACGCTGCAGGGCACCGGGCTGGGCTCTGTCCCACAGGCAGCCCTGAAGGCAGGACCCATAGGGACCCGGCTGCTGCTGCTGAAGCCCAGACTCTCCCCGCCCCGGCCGCAGAGCCCAGCCCAGACCCCCGCCTGCCCTTCTGTCTCGCCTTCTGCTTTTCTCTCTCAAATCCAAAGGTGACTTCTTGAGGAAAAGCAGGGCTGGGTCCGGGGCAGTGGTGCAGAGTCCAGGTCAGTCCCGCCCCGTCCTGCCGTTGACTGTGGCAGGTGAAGGCAATGATACTGCCCCCCTTATCCAGCCACTGGGGATCGGGACCCACCAGGGCTCGGCTTTTATTTCTTGGGAGAAGAAGCAAGACTCTAAACTGGGGTGAGAGCACAGGCATGCAGCCCAAGGCTGGAGCAGCTGCCCCTTCCGCAGCCAGCTCCTCTCACAGCTGAGGGAAGTGAGTGCCACGTCCCGGGGAGAAAGTGGAGCTGCCGGGCACCACCTCCTCTCCAGGTGCCACTGCTTATCCATTCATCAGGAGGGTGTGCCAAGTGCCTGGGAGGAGGAGCTGAGTCTACAGCTGGGAGGCATGAGGCCAGGAGACCAGGGGGGGCGTGGGGAGCGGACCTGGAGGGAGTGACACGTGAGAGGCGCTGAGGAGGTTGGGAGGGGCTGGCCAGTGAGGAGATGGAGGGGCCCAGGCCCAGACTGGTCCAGGTCTCCACGAACCACCCAAGAGGCAGGGCCCCGCAGGCTCCCTGCTGGCCAGCATCTCAGGGCCTGGGTGAGTGTACTTAGCCATGCCGGGCCCTCCAGGAGGGCGGTGATAACTGTCAGGGCTGTGCAGCGGGACCCTGGGCTGCGGCCCCCCAGGTTGGGCCCACCAGGCCCTGGAAGGGGGATCACACACCAGCATCTTGTCCTTCAGAAGCACCAGCCAGAGGGCTCCCAGCTGGCCGCTCAGTCCCATAGGGCCCCCAGACACACGGCGGCTGAGGGGCGCGGGGGACACACATGCACCCACCTTCCGCGTCCAGGGTCTCTTTCATGATGATCTCCACCCGCTCCACGTGGTGCCTGTCCCAGAGCCCGTCCAAGGCCTGGCGGTTTTGGTCTCGGAAAGGCAGGATATGAGCCACAGCCTGCAGGGTGAAGAGGACACCCTGACGCCAAGGAAGGCCCCCAGCTCTGTGCCTGCTCCGGGGCGGTCACTCCGGAGCCCGGACCCCGCCCGAGCATCCCGTGGCCAGGGCAGGCGCTCCTGCAAGGACTCCACAGGCTCACCAGGAAGAAATTAGGGGGTCCCTTTATAACCAACACCTTCTCATAAAACATTTTAACACCCAAAAATAGAGCAAGAAAAGCGTCAAACTGAATGCACGCGCTCATTCTTTTTCTCATTTTTTGCCATAAACCAGTGGAAACCTCACCACGCCGGGCACCAGGCCGATGGCCACCCTGCGGGGTGCCTCTGTGTGCCTGCCCCGTGGCCCTGGGCCTCAGCCCGGGCGGGACACAGGGCGACCCTCCGCCTGGCCTGCTCTGCACCCATCTGGCTGCGAGCTGGGACCTGAGTCGCCGGCCTCCTGGCTCAAAGCAGAACTCAAGAGGAGAAAGATCCTGAAAAAAGGCAGCGTGTGCTGAACAAGATGAATTCTATTTCTCACCGCTCCCCCACCGGAAGCCAGGCCTGGGCACCCGGGGCTCTGGGCCATGCTGAGAAAGCAGGCCCCCGCCGCTGGGAAGCAGAGACGGACACACAGAAGCAGAAGCACAGCGCCGAGCAGTCCTGCCCACGCTGCCTGCTGCTCCCCCACTCGCCCCTGTCACCCCCTTCGAGACAAGCACGGGGCGCTCAGCGTCCACAGGCCTCGGGCCCGATTCCACTCTCGGGGGTCTGACCCTGTCAACCTGCCTCCACTCACGCCAACCCAGGCAGGCCCCCAGCCGCAGCTCACCTGCTTGCCCAGGTAATGGTCCACCCGGTACATCTCCTCCTCTTGGAAAAAGCTGCCGAGTTCTGTGGCCAGCTGCTGGGCCGAGAGGAGATCATGGCCGAAGGGTTTCTCCAGGACAACCCGCAGCCAGGCGCCGGGCCGGGGGCGGCAGCTGCTGTTGATGTGGCGGGCGATGTCTCCGTAGGCGAAGGGCGGCACGGAGAAGTAGAAGATCCTGCCAGCCTCCGGGCGGCCTGTGCGCTGGAGCTGTGCCTCGATGTCCCCGCTCAGAGCCACATAGTCCTCCGTGGTCTTCAGGCAGCGGTACTGGCTCAGCTGCTGGAACTGACCCTTGAGGTCGGCACAGTGATCGGGGGCCATGTCGCTGGGGCAGGAGAGGGCGTCCAGGATCTTGGCCAGGAGCTCTTGGCCCTCTGTGGTGGCCGTCAGTGCAGACCCATGGAAGCTCAGACTGTGGCCCTTCCCCGCCTCATCCAGGTAGAGCTGGAACAGCCCCTGCCATAAGTACTTTCTGGCCAAGTCCCCTGTTGCTCCCAGCAGGATGACGGACACATGTCCCTGCAGCGCCTGGGCCGGCAGGCAGCCCAGAAAGCCCACGCACAGGGCCATGAGGAGCATCTTCCCAAGGCCTGGGTGCCTGGAAGGGGAGAACAAGGGACAAGGAAGGCTCAGACATGGCTCCAGTGGCTGTGACGTTGGGTCAAACACATTTCTCAGCTCGCAAACATTTCCTGCCTGGCAAGAGGTAGCCACGTGTTTCTCAAGAAAATGGAGAGCCCCAGCTACCCACCCTCCTCAGGGGCTCGGCTTCTGTGGGGGCCTGCTCCATAAACAGGTGGTATGCCCAGGAAGGGGAGCAGGCCCTTAGGTGACAGCTGGCACCGTGAGAGGTGGCCATCACCTCCTCTCACTTCCCTCTGCTCACCAGGCCCAGGTGCCTGCTAGCTCTCGCACACCGTGATGAAGACAGACTGGAAACACGGAGCCTGACTCCCGGCTCGGCCTTGGGCAGCCACTTCACCTCTCTGCACCTGTTTCCCCATCTGAACTGGGGCTGTGCTAAGAACAAAGTGAGTGGCTGTGATGTGCTTAGGACAGTGCTGGCCACGTGCTGACCCCATGGGCGTGGCCGTGATTATTCCAGGATGGTAATGGCAGCAGCAGACCTGAGGGCTAGCCCATGCCCACAGGGCCTCTGTGCGTGGCCTCCAGCAAGTCCAGACAAGAGCTCTGAGAGGATCAGTGCACAGGGTGCTATTACAGCCCCCCTTTTGCAGACAGAGAAGCTGAGACTCAAGGAGGTGCAGGTCCCTGGGCGGGGGGTGGGGGAGCTCCTGAGCTGACCCAGCAGCAGGTTAGGGCTCCCCATGGAAGGCCTGGGGATGGCCAGGCTTCAGCCCTATCTGAAGCAGCTAAGGTGTCACGCGTGGGCGGGAAGGCCTGTGTTTTCTGCCCCCTGCTGTGACGCGCTGTAGGCCCACTGTGCTCAGCTCTTACTCCACGGCTCCCTGGTCTGCGCCTCCCCAGGACCAGCGCTTTGAGAGGAAGGTCGAATGGGGTGAGGAGGAAAGGAGTCATATCAGCAACCAGCTCTCAGAAATAGAGGGGGGATGGGGTCCCACCTGGGGGCTAAGACTACTGGGGTGGCCCGAGCCAGGTAGAGAAACAGCATTGTCACCCAGAAGGCAGAGAGCCGGGTAGACAGCCAGGGAAATCGAAGTTTAACGAGATATCCAGGATTTATCAAGGCCCTGCAGACCTGGCCAGTTAGCTTCCCTCATCCCTACACCTCCCCTCTATGGAGGGGGGCCCACTGCTGGCCCGATTCTGACATCAGACCCCTCCTCCCGCCTTTCCCTTTGCCTCTTCCTGTTCTCTCTCTCAATACACCCCAACGCTGGGCCCAGCCAGTGGCCACTCCAGATGAGGCTCCAATAACACTGGCTGCACCAGCATCTTAAGGACTCCGGCCACCTCAGTTATCGGAGCTTTAACTAGAGGCTCGAGGGGCCACTTGAATGGCCCCCAAGCTTCCTCTTCCACATTCCCTTTGTCTTCACTCACCCCAAATCTACAGCTGGACCACGGGGCCATGCTAATTTCCTCTCCTACTTTCTGTTCCCTGCCCTTGGCCCTTCAAGCATTTCTGTCTCAACTGGCAATCGCCCCTGTCTGGAGGGAAGAAAGAGCTGCAAGGTCAGTGCGGGAAGGCAGAGAAAGCTGAAGCCCAGCAAACAGCCCGGAGAAGGTGGAGCCGCCAGCTGGCAGGCTGCATGATTGGCTCTGGGCACCAGGGCTCTGGCCCCGCCTGGTGCCAGGAAGGAGCTCAAGCCCCTCAGAGCATCAGGGTAGGCAGGTGAGGCAGCCCAAGAGCCACACGTCTACCACGGCTCCAGGGGACTACAGAGTCGATGGATGGCACCTGTCCACCCCGTGCCCATGGGGTCTCGCTGCGGGCTCCGGGCTCCCAGCTCCTGTCCTCGGGTGACCCCGTCTCCTGCTCGCGCCCCAGCACTCCTTAAACAAGTCAAATCGGGGTCTCTGGTTATTGCAACACGGTTACTTACTCCGGGGTTGCCACACAACCAGGGAGCGACCCTTCCCCAAACCAGTGTGGGTGGTGTTTCGTTTGGGTTTCTCGTTTGCGCACGCACGTGTATGTAACCTTAACACAAACTCACGCTCAAACGCCTTAACTTAATCCCAACGCCCATGTGCACGGCAATCTCCCTGGGGATCTTTCTAAAATGCAGATTCTGATGCAGAAGGCCAGGGCAGGGCCTGAGGTGCCGCGAGCTGGCTTGACCAGCCCCCCTGGAACCCTGGACGGAGTGGTGGAACGCGGCGGGGCTTTCCAAAACACACAGCCCCGGCCTCCTCCTCCCCAAGGCAAGGAACTTCAGGCCCAGACGTGGGTATTTCAAAACAGCCTCAAACATGGTTAATATTTGCCTGCCCCTCTGCACAAGCTGCCCGGAGCCGAGTTGGCTGCTCACAGCCGAGCGCCAAGCGCCAGCCCTGATGTCCACCAGCGGGCAGAGGACGCCTCATGGAGGGGTGTCTGCAGTGATGCCCATTTTACAGATGCGGACGCTGGAAGGTGAGGCCACGTGTCACATCCCGGGGCCCTGGGACCGTGCCCGGCAGCCTCCTCCATCAAGGGGAGGGACGTGGCGTTAGGGTCGGGAGCCTCGCTCAGGCACCCCTCCTGGCGGGGAGCCCCCTCAGTCCCGTTTGGGTCCCTGTTTGCTCATCTGTAAAACAGGCTAACACACACCACCAACCAGGAGTAGTGAGGAGTAACTGAGAGGTTGCCTGCGACGAGGCGCGATCAGAACAGTAACTAAGTGCCAAGAACCGCCTAGGAAAAGGACAGCGAGTTGACAACAATTGACAACAATTACTCAAGAACTTGCCAGAAACACACTTCCCCTACAGAGCTCCATACGTTGGGGGCACCCCCTAGGTGGGGGCCCTTCCTAGGCAGGTGCAAAAAGTGTTCTATAATCAGGGTGAACGGGCACGGGCCCACAACCAGGGCACCTTCCCTGCCCGACCTCAGCCAGAGTGCGCCCACCAGGCATCAGGGAGACTCACCTTTAAAAGCTCTGTTCTGCCAACACCCCCAAAAGCATAAATGTTGACCTGGCCTCGCAAAGGGTTTGGCTCAGAATCAGGGTTCAGCAGCCTCCGTCTGCCCAGGGGCAAGAGGCAGATAGGCTGAGACCCGGCAGCTGAGCCCCGACAGGCCCTGCACGGCCCCGGGCTGCTTCCGTTGGGGTGCCGGCCGCAGAGTGGTTTCTGGGAAACAGGGATGGGGCGGGGAAAGCAACCGGGGGCCAGGTCAGTGGCAATTGCCTCTGCCCTTTCCCAATGCCCTGCCTTACCTTTGACCTGTCTTCTGTTTGCCAGGCAGAAAGGAGGGGAATGTTCTTCAAATCACAGCCCATGACCTTGGAATTTTAAAGGACTCCGTGGGCGTAAATGGGAGTTCAAACTGAAGGTGGTTTTCTCTAAAGGACAATCTCTCCAGTCTCCAACTCCAGCTGTTCCCCGCAACTCTTCCCTCTGGCTCTGTCCCTCCCTACACACACCCACTGGATGCCAAGACTTCCCGAGGACTGGTCTGCCTTGATGCCCCTCGGGCCAAGGCTGGGACAGAGCTGCCAGCCGGGCTCTGGGGCCCTTTTCTCCCTGATCTCAGAGAAGCCTTACTGCCCTCACCTCTTCAGGTAACAATGCAGCTCCTCAAACCCAAAAGGTGCGCTGAGCCCTCTGGTTTCTGCACAGAATTCAAGTGCCACATTCTCAGGAACTTTTCAGGACAACTGTTAAACACAGGCATAGAAACCCCAATTATATAAATGGACAACTGCGGGCAGGCAAGCCTGTTTCACTGGGCTTTGCAGATCTCGCCCTTTTACAAACTGCAGGTTTGTGGCCACCCTGCACCATGCAAACCTATGGCACCATTTTCCAGCTGCACCTGCTCAGTGGGTATCTGTGTCACAAATAAAGCACAAACACTGTTGTTTTAGATAGAACGCTGCTGCACGCTTCGGATGACGGTAAACTCTAGACCAGCCTGGATCTGTACTGGGAAGTTATCTGTGCAACTCTATTTATCATTTTATTTTCGTGGCCTGGATTCAAATCCATGATCTCTCTGAGAAGTACCTATAAATAAATTGAATTAAAGGCAAATGTGATAAAGACTCAAAGCTTACCACCTCCTAATTATTTTTACCATTTTCTATGTTTTTGACATTACTTACATCTATTGTACTTGTAAAGAGGCCCTATGACCTTGAGCATGAAACTGACCAAAGTGGGGATATTTACACCACAGACATGAACAGACGCCGAGTCGGACTCAATGGCTTGCAGGGCCAGTTGTTAAGCATTTACCAGTTCTCACTGCCTACGCACCAAGTCTTTATTTCCAGCCAAGACATCCCCCCCTTCAGATTCAGACCATCAGCTGCTCCTCTGACAGCATTAATTGGAGGTTTTCAAGACTTAGCATGTTCAAAATAGAACTGATTTATCTCCCAAGCTCCTCTAAATCCAGATCTCCCTAGCCTCAGTATATGGCCATCTCTGTCCTTCCAGGTGCTCTGTCTAGAAACTCGGGGGGGGGGAGGGGTCATCCAATCTGTCAGCAAATCCTATTGCTTCTACCTTCAAAATGTATCCAAATACATTACTTCTTAGCACCGTCCCCAACCTTCCTGGTCCTACCCACCACCACCACCGCTTCTAATTACTGCAGGAACCACCCAACTGGCCCCTCCCTCATTTCTATCTTGGCCTTAACACAGCAGTTAAGAGTGATCAGATAGGCCTCCCTGATGGCGTAGGGGTTATGTCTCAGTGCTCTCAAGTTATCACTGGTGTGGTCTGAGTCTGATCCCCAGCCAGAGAGCTGACCCATATGGCGCGGCAGACCTTTCCTGTCTCCCCGCTGCTCCCCTCAGCAGTGTATTTCAGTACATCTGCCTGTTCTGCCCCCCCCCACTCTCTCTGGTAAGTCCTCTCACCCCCCACACCTCTGGCCTGTACCCCAGCTCTTGCATGCATAAATAAATAATAAATCTTGGGCCTCCCCTGGTAGCGCAGGCGGTTGAGCGCAGAACTGTGAAGCTGTCCACAGCCTCTGCAGTGCGGGTTCAATCCCGGCCAGTGGGTGAGAATCCCACATGGCACAGCAGACCTCTCCTGTCGCACCTGCTGCTCCCCTCAGCAGTGTATTTCGTCAGTCTGCCTGTTCTGTTCCCTGCTCTGTCTCTGGTGAATCCTCTCACCCTCCCATGAGTCTCACCTGTACCCTGGTTCTTGTATGTGTGAATAAATAAATCTTATTAAAAAATAATAATAAAAAATCTCGGGGTGGGGGGGAGAGTGGTCAGGCATAGGGGTCTGCTGGGTCCATACATTCTGGCTTCCCATGCATTGTCTCTTTGTGTCTCCTCCTATGGCTCAGCCTCTCTCGAGGTTCCAGTCACTCACCTTCCTGGCTCAGGGCCTTTGCACTTGCTGTTCTGTCTGCACTTTTCCCTGTGGACATCCACATGGTTCATTCTTAACTGCAATTCATTGCTAAATGTCCCTTTCTCGGTGAGACTTTCTCAGACAACTCTGTGGAAAAGAGTCAACATCCTACCCCCATCTCACACACACATCCTCCCTGCTGCCTTATTTCTCTTGTAGTACATAACTTGTTCTACTATACTGTGTGTGGTTAGCATATTTATTTTGTTTATTGTCTGTCGCAACCCCCTAAAAGTCTAAGTACACTGTAAGTATCTGCTGGGAGATCAAGCCCACCTGTCCAGGACACTCACCTGTAGTATGTGAGCTCTCTGCTTCTGAATGATGGCACCAAGGTGAATTGTCTAAGTGAAGTGTCTAACGGTGACTTCAAGCACTGTGACAGAGCACACGGCAGCTTACTACTCTTACAATGCTATTCATAAGAAGAGCTACTGATGGAGGATTTACTCAAAAGCCACATGCTAGGCTAAGAACCTGACATGAATCACACCGATTAATTCTCACCGCAACCCTGGGAGGTAGGTGCATTGTTACCCCTGTTTTTAGAAGTATAGGAGAAATGAAGGTGCAGGAGGGAAAATAAGTTCCTGAAGGTCAGGTAGCACCAAGGCCACAGGACTTGCATATGCGAGTTCTGGTTCCAGAGCTGACCTCCCAGCTATCCATAAAACATGTGACTGCAACCCCAGATGGCAAGCCTGAAAACACTGTATTAGCATGGGGCCTGAACAGGTTCCCCTGAAAGACTGGAACCCCAGTGGCTTGAGCCAGGCAGGCTCTTTCTCTCCCATGAGCTCCCCATGCTGGTCAGCACCTCTAGTGGTTAAACATTGTTTAACCCTTTGCACTCCCTGTCCCCTCTCAGGGGACACTGGTAGCCAATGTCCAGAATGGTTCGGAGTGCAAAGGGTTAAGCTTTAGCTGCTTTGTTAAATCTTGGGGGGGGGGGCAGAAAGTGCTAGTTTCTGGAAAACTGGTAAAATGTGAGAACTTCCGGGTTAAATCCTTTGATCCGCCACTTAGCAGCTGTGTGACCTCAGACGAGTTACTCAACCTCTCCTTACCAGAATGGGAAAACAAGCTGATGAGAAGCACAGCGGAGAGCGCCCAGGTGAGCTGCCAACACCAGCTCCTGTCACTATTAAACCAACAATCTCAGGAATAAAGGGACTTTTTTTAAGAGCTGCAAACCCGAGGAACCTTCCCACACTAGAGACACATACCCAGGCACAGCTCCGGACAGCGCAGAGCCCGCCACTTCTCCTGCCCGTCTCGCTGACCAAAAGTCAGAGGGATAGAAGGCGGAGATGATTAAAAAGTCCCCTGAGGGGTTCATGAACCCCCTTGAGGGGTTCATAATCTGGCCCAGAGAATTTGGGAGCAAAGAAAAGAGCTGGCACCACAGATCTGTCACTTTTCTCTTCCCCGTCTTTCCTCCAGCTGGAGCAGGCCCATCAGTCCCCTCATTTTAATGTTTGATGAAGACAAACAAAAACCCGACAAGGGCTGTGAAAGTGTGGGAGGCGCTGGGGTAAAAGCTGTCCCAGATGAACAGACACCTGGATTCCAAGTCCCGGCAGCAAAGAGCCAAGCCGGGCTTCCCGCTCTGGCCCTGGGTGAGGCCGCACACACCCACGGGGGCTCTGGCAACGGGTCAGGGCGCGGCGCCTTCCTCGGAGCTCACCAGTCCAGCGAGCGGGGGCGGGGGGCGCACCCCGGGGCCTCTGCGTTCCCCTGGTCTCGCCCGCAGACGCCACGGTTTCCTTTCACCAGCCCGAAATCCACTGGACGGTAACAGTAACTTCGCGAACTCTACTTGTTGGATAAAAGTAACTGTAACGTTTGCCGGGAGTGACTCAATGTTGAGCACAAAACACCGTCCCCACGACAAGCCCCGGGCATTTCCACCCCGGGCGCTCCCCCAGGGGACCCAGCGACAGCCTCGGCCACTGGAAGGTCCTCGCCCCCCGCTGCGCCCCAGGGCTCGGCCCTTTCCAAACAAGCCCCCTCGAGCCGCCGGCGGGGTCTGCCCCCGTCGGGCCCCGGGGCGGGCGGGGGCGGGGGGGGCGAGGAACTCGGGGTCCGGTGTCTCCACGAGTTCTCGCTCGTTTCCGAGAAACAGGGGGGTTTGCGGGGCTGCTCGCCAGGGCCCCAGAGGCCGGCTCTGGAACCCGCTCCCGGGCCCGGGGGTGCCGGCCGCGCCGACGAAAACCCGAGCGAAAGCGAAAGCAGCAGCGGGCCCGGCGGGGGGCGGGGGCGGGGGGCCCGGGCTCGCGCTCTCAGGGGCCGGATTCCGGGGAGCCCGGGGCGGGGCCCCGCGCGGAGGACCTGGAGCTTGACTCTGCGGAAGGGGGCGCGGGGGGCGCGGGGGGCGCGGGGGCTCCGGCCCCCGGGCGGCGCGTCGGAACCCGAGGCCCGGGCCGGTCCCCCCCGGCCGCGCCGCGCCCTCCAGGCCCGCCCGGCGCAGGCGCGCGCCGCGGCTATAAATACCGGCGCGGGGTCTTACTTCAGGCCGCGGTCGGCGCCGGCCGCTGCCGCGCGCGAGGTCGGGGGCGGCGCGGGGCGCGGGGCGCGGAGGGCCGGGCTCAGGCCGCGCGCGGGCCCCCCGCGGGCCCCCGCATCCTCTTCCGCGGGCCGGGGCGCCCGGCAGGTGCGCGCGTGGACGCCCGCTCGGGTTCCCGCGAGGCCGGGGCGGGAGCAGGGCGCGCGGCCAAGTCGTCCGCGGCGGCGCCCGGGACGCGTCAGGCTTCGCGAGCGCGGCGGAGCCGCCGGCCAGGCGCGCGCACGCAGAGGGCCCCGGGCCGGGGACGCGCGCACGCAAAGGGCCCCGGGCCGGGGGCGCGCGCGCGCAAAGGGCCCGGGCCGGGGGCGCGCGCACGCAAAGGGCCCCGGGCCGGGGGCGCGCGCGCGCAAAGGGCCCCGGGCCGGGGTGCGCGCACGCAGAGGGCCTCGGGCCCGGGGGTGCGCGCGGCGCAGGCGGAGGCGCAGGTGAGGCCACGCCCCGAGCTCGGGGTCGCCGCGAGGGCAGGAGGCGGGGCCTCCCGCGGGAGTCCCGGCTGCGTGGACGCGCCGGGCCGCAGAGCCAAGTGGGCGGGCGAGCGGCCGCCCCGCCGCCGCTGGTCTCTCAGGCTGGGGCCCTGCCGCGCCCCAGGGGGGCGCCTGCTCGGACACGCGAGGCCCCCGGAGCGGCTGAGGGAAGTGGCTCAGGCGTGGCGGAAACCTGGGAGCCGACGTCCGTCCGGGGCCTGCGCCGAGGAGGGGAAGTGGGACCGGAACCGGGTCCCCCATCTTTAGGGCCAGCGGCTCGCTCCCTCCCACTTTCAGCATCCAAAGTGGTGATGTAGGGGTCACAGAGCACACGTGCCACGCCTCCACCTGCCAGCTTCACACCTGAGGGACCCTGAAGACACCAACCCCAGACTCAGTTTCTTCACCTGTGCAGGGGGAGCAGAGGGAGCGCCAGTCTCAGGAGGTGTGTCTGGCTGGTGACAAGTGCCAATAAACAATAGCTTGCCGCTCTGTGGCTTCACTGGAAAGACAGGGGGAAGGCGGCCTTCTCTGCAGGGGAGGGGACGTGAAGGGTCAGCCCCACTAGGTGCCCCCTGGATGGGAGCTGTGCTCCGCCCTCTCCTCACAATGTGTGCGAACTGCAGCAACCTCCAGCCCAATTTTCTTCCAGCCCTACGTGTTGTCAGTGTCCCCACTGGGGTCCTGGCCACTAGAAGATGCTGTTCCTTCTGCAGAGCCCAAGCAACCTTGAGTTAATCAAGACAGGGCTGCAGCTGCACCAGCGAGCCCCACCAGCCAGGACTACCTCCCCGACATAGGGACCCTCCCTACTCCTGTCTCTTCTGCAGCTGCACCTTCCTCCCTCCCAGACACAGGCGAATGCTGGCTCCTCTGCTGAAGTGCCTGGGCCACCCAACAGAAGGGCTCCAAAGGAGAGAGAAAAAAGTTGTGGCAGCTTTTGATTTCACGAAGATTCCATGAGAGGTGGGAGCCCTGGAGACGAGCAGAGGGAGCTCGGTGGTGGTCTGTAAGACTAAGTGGGGCAACAGACGTGCTGACCACACAGGATGTTGGGCAACAGCGTTGCAAGATTAGGGACCAAGAAGCGCTGTGCCCCACTGTCATCTGGGGGCCTGCTGTGAGCTCCTGGGCCTCAGGAAAGATTTGGGTCATGCTGAGTGGGACCTGGGTGGAGGGTCAAGGAGCCAAAGACTCACTAGGCTGCTGCCACCGCTGGAAGTGGGCAGCCAAACCGGACTCTTGGCCCAGAGCCTTGCCACGTTCTATTCTCCATGCACTGCAGTGTAATCAGGGCCTGGGGAGGCATGGTGCCCTAGACCGAGATGATCCAGACGACATTCCTCAGGCCCCTCTGCAGGCATTAGGGTCATCTTGGGAGGCATCTTTAAAATGCCAAGTCTGCTAAAACTAAACCAGCTTATTAAAATGTTAATGGCCACACAGGTACCTGTGGGGTGGGGTTGAGGAGTGATGTGAAATGGGCCTGGAGGGCCTGGCCGTCCCCCTCTGCTGGTCCCCTCCTACCCATCACTGAGATGCTTCATCACTCTGCCCACCTCCAGTTTCTTCGGGGCCATTGCTTGGCCTTCTTCCCATCCTGAAAACAATTTGGTCTCATCCAGGTGTGAGGTTACCCCCAGCACCTTGCCTACCTGCAGGTTTCCTGTTTCTGTGCTAACACAGCTACCAGACTCTCCAGACTTCACCACAAGGGGCCAAGTGACCCAAGAGCCCCTGAAGGAAGCCAGAAGAAGGGAGTGATGCCCCTGGGGGTCCTGGGGCCCCATCTGTGTCTGTGGCTTGGCCTAGATTTGTGGAGCTGTTTTTTTTTTTAATCTCCCTACACCATGGGGCGGGTAACTCAGGGTAACTGAGTTAGGGTAACTCAGCCTGCAGCACAGGCATGGAGAGGGAGACCCCGAAAGATGAATGGCTCACAGGGATGTCTGAGGAGGTAGAAGGAAAATCACATTGCAGTTTCTATTTTTGGACTCCACTCCAAGTCAGCGCACCATTGGCTGGCTATGCTCTCCGCAGAGGAGAGGAGGGGAGGGGAGGGGAGAACAGGTGCTGTGGATTCCCAGCCACCAGCTCATCTCTCCATTTCCAGACATGAGAAACCTCAGAGCTCAAGGCTTCATAAAGTCTTGCTTTCCCAGCATTTCGACTTAATGCATCTGTGTTCTCCTATGGTCCTGGAGGTCAGAGGGCCGATGCTGGACTCAACACTCTAAAACCAAGGGGTCTCGAGGCTGCAGTCCTTTCTGGAGGAGCCCTTTCTTGTTCATTTGGGTGTTAGCAGAATTCACTTCCTTGAAGCTTTAGAACTGAGATCCCTGTGTCCTTGCTTGCTGAGGGTGAGCCCCAGCTTCTAGAAACTGCCCTGTGCTTTGGTTGGTGACACTGTCCATCTTCAAAGCCAGCACTGCAAGAGTGAGTGCTGTAATCTCGCCTCCTTTGGGAGTTTCAGTTTCTCTGCCCCAGCACAGGAAGGGTCTCTTTTAAGAGTTCGTGCGATCAGGTTGGACACTCAATCCAGGCCAATGTCCCCTTCTCAGAGTCCTTACCCTCAATTACTTCTGCAAAGTCCTTTGTGATGAACTCAGTCTGGGGTCACCAAGGCCTGGACACCTTTGGGGAGTCCTTATTCTGTCTACCCCCAAATGATATCTTTGCAGAGTCTCAAACTCTCTTGATTACCTGGAATGTTTACTACATGATTTTTTTTAATAATAGCTTTATTGTGATATAATTCACATCCTATGTAATTTGCCCAATTAAAGTGCACAATTCATTTGTTTTTAGTAGTCTCAGAGATATGAAACCATCACCACAATCAATATAGAACATTTTTATCACCTCAATAAGAAACCACATACCTATTAGCACTTACACCCCACTTCCCCCCCAACCCTCTCAGCCCTACATGACCGTGAATCTACTTTCTGTTTCTGTGTATTGCCTATTCTGGATATTTCACACAAAGGGGAGCATATAGTATTTGGTCTTTTCTGTACATGTGTTACACAGACACACATGTGTGTGCATCTGTGTACATTCTGATGTCAGTGCTTCATTCCTTTTTATTGCTAAGTTACAGTTGATTGTATGGGTGGATCATATTTTCTTTATTCATCACTTCATGGACATTTCGGTTGTTTCTATGGCTTGGCTGCTGTGAACCTATGTGTAGGTACATTTGTGTGGACAACAGGTATCCATCCTCTTGGGTGTGTCCCTAGGAACGGAATTTCTGGGTCATGTAGTAGCTGCATGGGGAGTCTTTAAGAACCTCCAGACTGTTTTCCACAGCATTTGCACCCAACAATGTGTGAGGGTTCCAACTTTCCCACATCCTTGTCAACACTTGTTATTATCTGACTTTTGATTCTAGCCATCCTAGTGGGTGCGAAGTGGTATCTCCGTATAGTTTTGATCTGTGTCCTCCTGATGACGCAGAACAGAGAAGATCTTTCCATGGTGTACTGGCCATTTGTATCTCTTCAGAGAAATGTCTGGTTAGATTCTTTGCCCAGTTTTCAATTGGGTTATCTTTTTATTATTGAGCTGTTAGAATTCATTGTATATTCTACATGCAAGTCCTTTATCAGTTACACGATTTGCGGGATTTTATCCCACTCTGCAGGATTTTTTCCTACTCTGTGGGTTGTCTTTCCACTTTCTTGATGGGTATTTTTGAAGCATAAGTGTTTTTAATTATAATGTGTCCAACTTACTTCCTTTTGTTGGTGTCATGTCTGACTTGTCTTCTTGT